TTGAACCACAGACAAAGCATTTTTCCTTGGCAGAGTCAGGGGGAGAAGCAATAAAACAACCAAGGCACCTTCCAGCTGCCATGTCAATCGAGTCTTCTTGCCCAGTGTCAAGTAACTGTCATCTTGGTTGGAGCATCTGAACCCAAATCTTCTATTTAATACAAATGGAATCCTAGGAGCTACTTCTCAACATGAGAGAATCGGGAGGGGCACAGGGCTCTGGCAGAGGCCCAAATATGCACTTGAGGGCGCAAGCAAGATGTCTCAGGGGTTAAGGCCACTTGCTGTTCTTTTAGAGGACCCGTTTGGTTCCCAGTTGCCACATTGGGTGGATCACAACTGCCCAAAAATCCAGGTGTGGGTGACCCAATGCCTTCTGGGTTCTGTATGCATCTGCCCTCATGTACATGCTCACACAGACACATACACATAACTTTATTTTTTAATATTTTATTTTTAAGTATTTGTATGTGTGTGGGCATGCATAGGAGTGCAGGCACTTGGAGGCCAAAAGTATCAGAGCCCACTGAAGCTGAAGTTAGAGGCAGTTGTGAGTCTCCTGACATGGGTGCTGGGAACCAAATTCAGGTCCTCTGGAAGAGCTACAAGTGTTCTTAACCGCTGAGCCATCTCTCTAGTCCCCATACATATAAAACAAAAAACAGGGCCAGAGAGATGGCTCAGCGGTTAAGAGCACTGACTGCTCTTCCAGAGGTTCTGAGTTCAATTCCCGGCAACCACATGGTGGCTCACAACCACATCGAATGAGATCTGGTGCCCTCTGCTGGCATGCAGGCAGAATACTGCATACATAATAAATAAATAAAATCTTAAAAACAAACAAAAAAAAAACCACTCGGGTCTGGAGAGATGACTCAGTGGTTAAGAGCACATACTGTTCTTGCTAAGGACCCAGGTTCAGATCCCAGCACCCGACCCAGGTTCAAATCCCAGCACCCGAGCTGGGCAGCTCACAACAACCTGTTAATTTCAGCTCAGGGAAAATCCAGCACCTCTGATTTCTTTGGGTAGACTCGAGTGCACGTGCGTGTGCGTGCGCGCGCGCGCGCGCGCACACACACACACACACACACACCTAAAAACAATAAAAATACAACTTGAAAAGTTCACTTGACTCACTACATGAAGAAATCAATGAAGGATGAACGAAAGGGATGAGGATTTGCTGAATGCTGAATGCTAGAGTGTTCCAGATATTCTTCCTCACTTATCAGAACAATACTTCTGGGGAATGGAGCTGTTATTCCAAAGTGTTAATTACAATAATAATAGTAATAAATGAAAAGGTTCAGACATTAATGCTGACCTGCCTGTACTTCTTTAAGAGAGAGATCCCGCCCCCTGACAACGGGTGGGGCATTCACAGTGCTGTCCCACCATGTATGGACCTGTGTGAGGACTGCGCATGCGCTCGAGCTCCCCCTTTAAGCCTGGAGCATTAGTTTCAGCTCTCTCTTTCCAGGAGTCAGCCACTAATCCTCTCTCTGTGTCTCTCTGTCTCTCTCTCTTTTTCTGTTTCCGGTGGTCGACCACTCACTCCCCCTCTCTCCTCTCTGCTCTGTTCTTGTCTCCTCTCCACCCACCTGTAACAAACTTTATGTTTGTGCCCTCCACGGTTCATGTTCCGTCTCCATCTCAAGACTTCTAATTTAAGCAAGAGAACAACAATAACAATAATAAACAGATTTTTCTAAAATAAAGGCTCTTGTTTGTTGTTGTTGTTTCATGACAGGGTTTGTGTAGCCCTGGCTGTCATGGAACTCTGCAGTCTAGATTGGCCTTGGACTCACAGAGATCTGCCTGCCTCAGCATGGAATTAAAGGTATGCACCACCACCACCACCACCACCACCACCACCACCACCACCACCACCAGGCTAAGCTCAAGGCTCTTATGTTATACAGCCAACCATGTGTCCTGGCACCCACTCACGTCAACACCCTGGACACCTAGTGGTAGGAAAATAATTCTAGCATTCTAATGCTCAGGCTGCTTGCTGTGGTTCCAGGAACAAGGCCTGTAATCTCAGAACCAAAATTTCTCATCTTCTGTGAGCAAAACTGACTGGCTAACTAACTGTATATCAAACAGATTTGTCTGTTTCTTGACACTTCTTGTAGGCAGACTTTTCTTTCCCACCCAGTAGTTCCCAAATAACTGAAACAGAGACTTAATTACAAATGCTGACCAAGGCAACTCTTATAAAAGGAAGCATTCAATAGGGGGCTTGCTTACAGTTTCAGAGGCTTAGTCCATTATCATCAAGGCAGGGGTCTTGGCACCTAGTCGGTGCTGGAGCAGTAACTGAGAGTTTTACATTTTGACCCTTGGGCAGAGAGGCAGAGAGAGGGACTGGACTGGCATGGGCTTTTGAAACCTCAAAGTCCACCCTCAGTGATGCACTTGTTCCACAAGGCCACACCTCCTAATCCTCCTAACCCTTTCAAATAGTGCCACTTCCTGGTTACTAAGTATTTAAATAATGAGCCTATGGGGCCATTCTTATTCAAACTACCACATTCCCCTCTCTGGCCCCATAGGCTTATAGGCATATCATAATGCAAAAAGGCATTCAATCCAATTTCAAAAGACCCCACCGTCTGTAACAGTCTCAACACTGCTTAAAAGTCCAAAGTTCAAAGTCTTTCCTCAGACTCATGACAATCTCTTAACTATAACCCATTATAAAATCAAAATTAATAAGCAGGCTACATACTTTCAATTTACAACGGCACAGGAGGTATATTACCATTCTAAAAGGGGGGCCATAGTTAAGAAACACTGGACCAAAGCAAGATTGAAAACCGGCAGGGCAAACTCCCAGATTCTGCATTTCCATGTCTGCTGTCAAAGCACTCTTGAGATTTCCAACCCTTTTAGCTTTGTTGACTGCAACAGACTTCTCTTTTTTAGGCTGGTTCCAGATTTCCTTAGCAGTTATCCCACGACTCTGACATGTCCCACAGCTTGGGGTCTCCAGCACAATCCAGGCAGCCTCTATGCAGGAACACCCCTGGCACATGCCTGGCCTCAATGACTTGCTTTCCTTAGCTGTGGAGAGAGATTCCACAACCCCTTTCTTGTATCCTTGACTCTAAGGCTAGAACCATGAGGCTGAAGCCGCCAAGTGTAAAGGATTCGGGGCATTATGCTGACCTGCCCCTGTAACCTAGCAGAATGCACTCAGGAAGTACCTTGGTCAGCCATGGTTCCATAGTCTGCACATAGGTGCAACCCCTGCGCCCCCATCTCCCACTTAAGCTCTCTATCCCGCTGTTCCCCTGGGGCAGACAGGACTTTTCCTGTCTCCCTCTTCTCTTCTGTCCTCTCTGTCTCTGTTTCTCTTTACCTCTTTCCTTTACTCCCCCGCCCCCTTTCCCTTTCTAATAAAACTTCTCACTAAGCTCTGTTTGCTTGGCATGTTTGTCCCCTGCCTCGGTCAACTTCGTGGGCCATAGAATCTGCCAAGGTCTCCTATGTAAGGTCCCCCACACGCATTATCATAACACCAAGTTCTACTGCTTGCTGGGGCTGGAACACAGTCCTCTCTTTCAATTACATTAGCACCAGCTTTCTGTTGTTGATCGTTTTCTTCACTGCTTAAGTTTTTCTTTAACTTCTTTTTAAAAGGTGGAAGCTTAGCTGGGTAGGGTTTTGCCTGGGTCACCATTCCCTTTATTCCTTTTAGCATCAGGCTTTTCTTTAAACCTTTTATCTCCTTGAACACTGGATTTAGCGCCATTACATTTCCCTGTGCTCCCTTTCTCAAACTGTACATTCAGCATTTCTCCTTGCCCACTTGCTTTTCACTGTAGATGTACAGAAGAGGGACTGCTAGTAACCAACACAGTCAATATTAGGTGATCTTGAAATCTCCCCTACCGATGCCATTAATCCAATTTGCTTCAATTCACCTCCACCAAAATTTTACAACGGCAGAAAGCGGCCACATTCTTTGTCAAAATATCACAAGAATGATCTCGAGGCCACTTACCAATATCCCCTCTGATATTTCTTGAGCTAGGCTTCCACAGTTCAAATTGCCCTCAGCACTGTCTTCCATGCTTCTCCTACCTCCCATTAAGCACAAGGCACAAGGATGGATACATTAATAACATATAGCAAGACGTTTTCTATAGCAAATAAGTTGATTATTTTTCTCCTGAATTTTTTTTTTGAGGGGGTGGGTGGGACGAGGTTCAATATATATTATTGGGCGGGGTAAAATAAAAATTAAACGTAAATATAAAACAAACCCATACCCAGGTTCTACAAGGAAAAAAAAAAAAAAAACTACGGTGAAAAAGACTTAAGACGAAGAAAGTAAAACTGTTGCTTTCACCGAGGTGTCTTGGGAAGGTGGGAGTGGTGGCCAAACAGTGAAAATGTTGTTTCCCTCTTCCTATCGAAGGTCCGCAAAGCAAGTTTAGGAGAGACAAAGATGAAACACTAGGCAGAAAGGGCCTGCTCCTAATTAAGACAAGTGGGTTGGTCAATGAGAGCCGCCTCTTGGCCTCTGACAGCACAAGAAGCCTCTCTGGGTGTTGGCCTGCCTTGTTCCCGGTAATCTCGAAGTGACTGGTAAATAATGAATAAATGCAGTAAATACGTGAGTGTCGCAGAAGCCAGTATACAGAAGCGGCCAAGTGAGAAGCAGATACGAGTATTAAAAACAGGTCTCCAAACGCGGTATTTCTGGACCCAGGGACCCCTTAGAACACAGCGTGCGAACCTGCGCAGCAACTTCCCCGGGAGGCGAGGGCATGCGACTGCGCTTGCGCAGGCCACTATCCCCGCCCTCTTCAGGCGTGAGGGCCAGTGGGGCGGGCCTCGGCCAGGGCGGGTCGACTCCAGAGGGGCGGACTGGGGAAGGGGCGTAGCCGTCGGGTCGGTTTCCGCCACCCGCTTCCGGGCTCCGCTGGCTGCGCGCGCATCCTCCCCCCTTCTTTTGTGGTCCGGCCCATTGCGAGGGTGACAGGAAACCCTGTGCAGGGAGCGCCGCCATCTTGGACCAGCCCGAGGAAGATCCTGAGGGAGCCGCAGGGTCAGCTGCCGCCACCGCCGCGACTGCAGCCCGAGTGTCTGCAACCTCAGGCCAGCCCGCCTTCCTGCTGGGGTCTCCCCCCCCGGGTCCCGGCCGCCCT